CTGCAGAGAAACAAATTACTTTAAAGTGGGAAAGTTTGTGATTATTGCAATAAGGGAATTGGAATAAGGGAATTGGAATAGATTACATGGAAAAGTTTCTATGGAAAAGTGTATGTTGCTTTCAAAGATATTATATGATTTATCAAAGGATTGTCAGATTAAGTATCCTGTCTTGTGCTATACAGAAGGAAAAGATAATAATAAAATCCATTCAGATATTTCTTCAGGTATAGCTAAATTTACAAGCTCAACAGTTTTCTTCATAGTTTTATATCCTTTTTTCCAAGCATAAAATAGAAGCAAAACAATGCATTGACTAAATATGATCATGCAGAATCCCACGTCTTTTAGATCCAGAACACTTGGACCATTTCAAGATCTCTGCTGCTGCCACCATAGTGTGAGTATAAATATTAACCTACTGTTCTTCATGTGTAATAGTTAAAAAAGTAGCTCTGACTCACACTTTTCCAGGGCGCTACACAGTTAATAAATATTCCTCCAAAATTCTAGCTGTCAACATTCCTGGAATTTATTCCTGGATTTAGGGTGGAAGACAGCAATGATATCAGTAATGTAGCAAACCACAGAAATTTAATAGTGTCAGTCTGCATGTTTGGACTTCATGGTTTAGATTTAGATTTGCCTTGTTTGCAATCTCATTGTAAAATGAAGGCAATGGTCGTTTTTTTTTTCTCTGGGCAAAAAGGTAAGAATTGATTCAATGTTAAACACTTCAAAGGATACAGCTGCATTTTAACAGAATAAAAGAGATGAGGGTAGATATAAGACAATCTCCTAGCTTGAACCAGCATGAAGTAGGAGGGAGAGAAAATAGGGTTCACATAGTGATGTGGGAGAAGAGCTGAACAAGTTTGTGGTCCTGGTAACATAATTTGATTTGTCTCACACTACCTACTAGCCATGGGACTCAGGAAAGAGGGGGGGAAATCCTAATGGTTCTTAGACATTTTTAAATGTAGGTATGATTTCCTAAGGGTGCAGAAGGAAGTTGTGTTGACTCCTATACCTGGTTTATATCAGCAGAATTATATGCAGCTTTTCAGTTGTGTTTATGGTGCCCCTTCACCCCTGTCTTCCTAGCATGTTACCATTGCACATTATGCCAGTTCATCTAAACAGCTATTTTCAATATGCAGATGAAGTTATTTTTAATTAATGTACGTGATCCACCTGTTCAAAATGCCATAATTGCATGTATTTTTAGAAAGACACATTTTGCAGTTTATGGCAGGATTTTAAATGCATTTCAGAGAGATCTCTGGGAAAACTAAACAAAACAAGCCTTCTACTGGTTATGAATCAAAGTTGGAATGATGTGGAAATCGCTATAGCAGCCTGCTAAGACTTTGTGGTTAAAGAACATATCAAATGTTCTTTAAAATCAAATGCAATGTAAGGGGGAAAAAACAGCAAACACTTCTGTGTATGCTGGGAGCTCATTTGAGGGGACCACAGAGCAATAGTGAGGGTGCTGTGCACAGCCTCTTGTTGGTTCTCTGGCAAAAGTAGGTGTGTCTCTGCTGCATCTTCAGTGTCTCTTGGACTGTTTTCATGAGAGGTGGCAAGAGAGACCCTGGTGCAGCCCTCTGGACTTTCTGTTCTACGTCAAAGCTGCTTCTTCCTGTAGCAGAACAACAATTTCATAGCCAAGAAAATCTCTCCATGCACATACCTTCTGCTGAAATCCCAGCTACTGATTAATCTCACCCAGTTCCTTTTTTTCCCCTTCAAAACACCATGTCACATTCTCATAATTTTATAATTAGGAGTAAAAAGGCTTTTCTGAACAAGCTTCCTAAGGTCATTTAGAGCTGCTTAGGCTGTAGATACTAAACTAGGATGGATTTAGCATCTTTACTCCAATCAAATTATGTTTTACAAAAAATATTCTGCTATTTTCTTTTTCTTCTTTTTTTCTGCCCCCTAGCAACTCCAAGTCTGTCTGGTTAGCCCTTGTACAAGTTCTAAAAATATTCCTCAAAATCTGTCTCTAGATGCACGTACAACAGCTTTGGTTGTGCATATTTTTTGTTTATGTTGGAGGTTTATGGTGAAGCTGAAGATGTCACTTCAATAAAGAAAAGGAAAGCTAGATAGAACAGGAAGATTATGCAAGAATATCTACAATTATATGGTAGTTTAATGCCAGTTTTTAGATATTTTAGATATTTCTAAGCATTTAATTATAAAAGGTTCCTTTTAACTCCTTAACCTGCCTAGGACTGGGATCTGAAAGGATTAAAAATGGCTTAAACCATGAGACTCTCATTTCACCGCATCTTTAAAATCACACTGTCAGGGAAATTCTTTGATATAAGCATGACTGTTTGTGATTATGTATATCAATTTTCTTAATGTGTATCAATTTCCTATTGAATGTGGCCTGCTTCACTGTTCTTCATAACTCTCCAGATCATCTGAAGGGAAATTCATATGTCCTAATACAACAAATACATTTTGAAGATTGTGCAAGAGAGATTTAAAACATATTATACCCACTGTTCTGCACAGTTTGCAATAAGCACTGCTGATTGTTGTAAATTCAAAACGTGTGTTTCTCATCAGCTGAGGTTCAATGAAATGCAAAGTATAGCATAAAATATAGCCTAAGGTATTATAACATGCATCAAGGACTTACCAGCTAAGTCCTCTGCACAAAGTTTAATAAGTTCATTCAGGAAGAGTGTTGCTTGACCTGGTAAATAACAGCTGAATATCTCAGGATCTAAGCCAGCATCTGATTTTACAGCAGCATGAATCAGACAACTGTGTCAACAGCAATACATGTTTCATTCTATTTAGATTGAAAAGGACTTGGGTGCCCAGCCTTCAAGCTATTGGTGTAGTTACACTGGCTGGTCACATTCTGAAAAGTGAAAGTTTTGTTTTTCATGCAGTTGGATAAGTGGAATGAATGTGCTTTCATCTGTACCAGTAACGAAAACATACAGAGAATGTTTCCATTACAGTTGAATTCCATATTCAATTATGAAACAAAACCATTAAACAAAGTGAAACTTTTCCCAGAATTCCCCTACCACATACACATAAATTGTGGTAATTTACTCTGAATTCTGATCCTCTTTTTATGTCTCAAGTAGGAGCACTCTGTCACATTTGTTCCCAAGTCTTTTTAATTCCAGATTTGCATTTTCTAGTCTTTTATTTATGTAGGGATCAGTTTTTCTACATTCTGCAAGCTTGGCACCAAAAGAAGGAAAAAAGCCCTACCAATTGAATTTGGGGCCCAGATCTCTTCTTTCTTCTTCCAGCAGCTCTGTAAGCAGACATGATGTGGTGATATTTCATAATTTACAGGTGGGCTTCAAACATGAAATTAAAAAAGTGTAGAATGTATCTTCCTTTCCTTTCCAAAGAAGGAGGAAGTGGCTGTTGTACTGCACTGCTGTGTTGGATATAGAAGAATCACCTATTTCCCTGCACTATCCCATACTCTCACTAATGTGCCAGGAAATCAGGTGTTTGTGATAAATAACTGGGTGGTGTTATGGTCAGTAGTTTCAGGTCATTCCTGAGCAGATTCTGAACTGCTACTCCAAGCTGTTCCAGGATCTGAAGCTACCATTCCTAGTCCTGAGATGTCACAAGAGACTCTGGTGAACGGTGATATTGTAGTTGTGCTATGGAGCTAGTGATGAACCTCAGCCAGGTAGTTTCAAGGTGGATTTTTGAGTAATTTTTTAATTTACTCTTGATTTTATTTTATAAAGCCCTTGGATTTTTTCTGAGGCAATGAAGGAAGGAAAGTTACACTACCACCTCCCCAGGCTGTATGTTCAATGTGCATTTTTCAACATATGTGAATCTCTGCACCCATTTATACCATGGTCCTGCCTTGGCAGGTTGTGTCGAGTTGCAGCAAAAATGCTCCTATAAAGGACCTATACTGGGGACAGATTTATCTCGTCCTTCCTGCTGCAAAGGAAGAGAAGTATCGAACTGAAGCGACAATGGGCCCTATAAAGAGTGCAAACAATCTATAGTGTAGTGAAGGAGGCAGTTTAAAGACTTGTACTACCTGGAAAAGGGAGCACCTCCTTGAGCAGAGATACCTTAACAACTAGTTATTTTGCTATGACAATATCTGTATTTTTTATGAACCTGAACAATCTCATTAGCAATTTCTAAGGTATGTAATGAATACTAGTATACGGGGTCTTTGAGAAAATTCAAAAGCTCTTTGGGACAGTAAGTAAGTGAAGAGAAGCCTTATAAGGTGGACTGTTTTTCAACTGATAAGCTTAGCCATCTAACTAATTAGCTTGGAGTTTAAGGGAGAGACTTAAATTGCAGTGAAGATGTTCCCCATGTTGCAATTAGATGGGAAAATCCCTTGCGGACTTCAGCAATTCTAAGATAGCCAATTTAAAGATTATTTTATGCTATATAGATTCACAAAACAATTTGATGTAAATTACAGAGGTTTTTATGGCATGGTTTGAACATTAATAGGGTTCTATTCATACCTGTCTGGGAACAGGGGTATGAATCATCGAATGTTGCCAGTCATCAGTGATGCTCACATCTGAAATTCATGTTGCTGTGCTGGGCAATACTGCAAAGCCATAGACTCACTATGTAACTTACAAGTGATTTTATATGAATATGAATATTAATATTATGCTGTAAATGTTCTGCTACAGGTGATACCTTCCATTTTTCATGTACAAACCACTAGATTCTACAGTAAGTTTGGGGTCAGTTAAAGCTGCATACCTGCTGCTTTAACATACCCCCAAACATTATTGTTGGTGTGGAGAATTGACTTCAGTAACTTCTGACCTTGACCATGACTCTATTCAGCCTTCATTTTTTTGCCTTTCTGAGCTTGCTTCACTCTTTTAGAAACTTTTCAATATATTGTGCTAAACTGCAAGCATGACAGTTCAGCTTTGCAAGATCTTTCTAACAAGAAAAAACCCCAAAAGATCTCTCTAAAACCTCTGGTTTAGATTTCATTTTATTTGTCATCTTTTATGAACAAATTACGAAATATACTTCATTCACAAATTGGAAATATTTACAATTTATTTACAACAAGGCATTATTGAGGTTTTGATTTATGGCATTCTTAGAGCATTCTGTCTTTCAAAACAAAGACGTTGGTGTTGTTTTCAGCACACTGTTCATTTACACTCTGGATGTGAAATGGGAGCTTTTTGGAAGAGGAGTTTGCACTCTCATTTGATATGATCTACTGGGGAAACTGAGGCAGGATGCATTCAAAATGTGAGGAGAGGGACTGTGCACATGTGTTGCTATACCATGCCATGATCTGAAGCCATCATATTAAACCAGATGCTGCTAAGTGGAGAGGAGAAAAAGATTCCCCTGAGCCATTCTTCCTCTGCCTTCTCCTTTGAGTAGGCTAAATGCCGTTCAGTTTATTTTTTTTTTTCTGATTTTTGAGTCTTCATGAGAATAAGGGTCTTGCGAAGTCTATTTCAAATACTATCACAATTCAGAAAGATTATTCAGACAAAAAACTGAAAGAGAGTAGTGAGGAAGTGAATAAATATTGTCTATCTGCAAAATGTTTAGGAGATAAATTTTGAACATGGTTCTAAAAGGGAATTGCAACTGTGCTGGTCTGCAGTTGTGACATTTGAGCCATAAAAGCTAAGATAGTTTCATTTTCTTAATGTCTTGGAGTCTATTTTTTTTCCTGAAGAAAATTCTAAAACCACTTCCTTCCATGGAACTTTTAAAAATGTCTTAATATACACTTCCGTTATAAATCAAATGTGGGCCACCATTGCTTAGGTTGTCTGTCATTTCCTAGAACAAGAATAGAAAACATTAATTAAAATTAGAAGTATTGGAAGGTGATTGAAATTCAGTTGTCTAAGGTTGTGATGAAATTTGAACAAACTCAGAATTTCAAACATTCAGAAACACTTTACATTTTTATTTAGCTTGATAAACCTCATTATTAAAAAAATCAGATTTTTTCCTTCATAAATTAGGTACATTTGATAGCTGATAGATTCATTGATAGGTGATTGAGTTGGACATTACACTCAGACCACGTATAGAGCATTGATGGCATCTGTACTAGTTTGTGATGTTGTCCTTTGAAATTGCATCAACTCAGGCTTGTGTGCCGATCTACAAAAGAATGAAATGGTAGTTAAGTCTCTGTTTCCATTCAGACCTCTGTCTGTGATGACATGCTACAAACAGATGCCATTCAATGCTTGCTGAAATAGACATTTGGGAAGTAGATCTAGATCCAAACAGGATCTAAGGGTTTTAACTGCTTGTTTTCCCTTGGGATGGGACTGATTTCAGTTTTCCTTTATTATGCCAGTCCACAATTTTTAGCAGTTCAGGGATTGCTTCTCCAGTGGCAGGTGAGTCATCCCAGAGTAAGCTGACCAGCGCATGAGTCAGAATCCTAAAGCACCTGAACCAAGATTTGCTCAGTGATAGATTTTCTAATTCTCAAATTGAAATGCAAACAATACCCCCTTAACAGCTGTCTAAGTATAGAGATGGCTACATTAATTAAACAGTTCCCTGATCTTCAAGGCTGCAAAGCCACATTGAGTTTATGGTCGGAACTACCTTATTCTGAGCAATCCCAGGCCTATTTCATACCAGATTGAATCTGGATGCAGAAATAAGTGATCCGCTGCTTATGTCCAATGAGAACATTCAGCTATGGCAAGAGGAATGGGTACAGGTTAAAATGCAGCTTGAAGTTTTTCTAAAATTCAGGTAGGTGAGGTGGAGGTGCCAGTGTTGGACTAGTTCTAACATAGCTGCATGATGACCAGAGGCTCTTCTCTGCATGGAAATATTAAATTCACCTCTTCTTCCTCCTAGGTACATTAGGAGAAAACATGAAATAAAAGGGATTTGTTTGTCCCCCTTCCTGTGGAAGCTTCTGTAAAAAAGTGAAGCAACATTCATTGGTCTAGGCAGAGAGAGAGAGAGAAAAAAAGACGGAAAGAAAGAATCCAACTCTATGGCACATTAACTGAAATTTGTGGTAAAGAGAAGAAAATTATTCAACCTGGTCTTTATTAATAGTCTTACTCTCTCTCTCTCTTCTTTTAATCCACAAAATTTGGCAAGCAGAGACCAGAACTCATAGTAACATAAAGTTAAAAAGCACTGATACCTCCTTTCTCAGATGTTGCCAGCTACATTTTAAAGCAAATCACAGGACTTAATTGTTCCCTTCACAGTTTTTGAAAGAAGGGATGTTCTGTTCTTCTCTACAATGTCACCAAACCAAGTAGCCTTTCCAGTTAATACTCCTGAATCAAGCATGAGCTTCAGAGAAAATCAGGTGTGAAACTAATTTTGAGTATTTTCTACCACCCAGGTCTTCATTTGCAGATGATGGTGTTGGATGTTTTCGTATTGTGCCTTACTCTCCTCATATATTGAAGAGGAACATACATGCTTAACACTGGACTATGGATCCCAGTTTGGGGGTTATCAGCACTGTAATTTGCTTATTTGTGGGTGCTTAAAGTATTTGTTGGATCTACACTGAAGGTATCTGTCAGCTGGGAAAGAGGCCAAGATTACCAAAGCCAAAAGAGACCAAGAATACCAAATACTATCAGTCAGCCACATTTTGATTGTAATGGTCTGTCAGAAGACATGAGTCTTCCACTCATGAGTTTCCTTTTGTAAGCTTCCTTCATCACTTGAATCATCTGCAGACATCAGCTATTAGAATATCACCATAGTTTTGGAATATATCAAAACCCATTTATTTTCCCCAATATTTCTAATTTTAAAAAAAGTTAATTAAAAAAAAAAAGTTGCTGAATTCGGGGAATGAAGGAGCACACATATTAGAAGCAGAGTCAATCAATGGTGGCTACATCCAAATAAGAGTATTTGGATGCCTGTAACTAGGGTGAATATTTTAAATACTCAACTTACTTCCGGATTGCAGCGTTCACCACATAGAGTTATGTCACTACCTGGAAGCACCATTCCTGCCTCAGAGTAACATCACAGCATCAGCCAACTTTGATTAGCTGAAGCTATGACTTCCTCGTAGAGGTGGCCCTTCCTGAAGTGACATAACAACATGGTCGCTCCCTAGTGTTCAGCGTACCTTGGAGGTAACTCTGGTGTCGGGGGAATCACCGGGCAGCTGGGCAGGTCGGTTATTTCAATACCCCTCAATCTCTAATATAAATATAACAATTATACAATAAATATAGCACAAACAAATGCACATGCAGTACATGTCTACATTACTGTATATCAGTATAAATATACAATATAGTCATATATATAAAACACTTCTAAGCTGTTTTCTAAATTAGGGTCTAATGTAATGTAAGTTTCTGTGCCATGACCTAGTGTACTCAACCCTGCCATCAGCAGGCAGTCTGTGGGTCTGAGAAGTCCCAAGTTGGGCCATGTGTACATGCATACTTGGCTCTACAGCAGAGGTGCAGGAAGTTTTCCATCAGTGGGGCACATCCCAGATCTGCTGAGTGTGTGCAATAGGCTTGCTCTGTACATTGTGGCCCTTCACCCAGGATAAGTGGACACCTGGCAGTCCTTGCTGCTAAGTGTCAAAAAGCTCAGTAGGTCAACAGGCCAGGAAGGTAGGCAGTGAACTACACATGGTTATCCTCACCCCAGATTGATAGGGTGGATGGCTTTTTTCTATTTTGAAAGGTTTTTTAATTTCCAAGCTGTTTCATCTTCCTTTTCCTTTCTTCTTTTCTCCTATCTTTGTCCTTGTTGAAGCAAGTCTCTCTGATAGTCAATATCTAGCCTTCCATCAGCAAGACCATCATATTTACCTAATAGCTCATCAGAATTCTTCTTCATTTTAAAATGAGATGGAGAAATGTGTCTCATCTGTTGATTTTATCACCCTGTTTTATGTTACTGTTTTAACCTCTACTATTTAACTTTTAAAAATGTGCTTAAAACATCATCTTTTTAAAACTTTTCAAACTTCCTGTTTTTAAGACACATTTCAAACATCATCTAAGATTAATTCAGTTTATATTTCTACTTGGAGTCTCATCTCAGTTAAGAAACCAAAGAATAGTGACGAGTAATTTTTAACTGATATATTATGTTTTTTCAGGGAATCTGAAAACAGTTCTACAGTCTGAGCAGACTAATCCTTGCTCTGCTCTTCAGAGGTTTCAGTAGACAACAGACTCTTGACAGTAATTAAAACTTGCATGTGGAGGTTTAGCTGGGCAGTCCCCTTGACTTTTGTTCTTTTTTCTGCTCATTTCTCAAATAAAAGGCATTGTATAGATACTAAGTCCAGATGCAAAGCACAGGTTTACAGTGAACACTTAATTCCTCAAATATTATTCAGATCTGTTAAGACAAGGAGATGATTTCAAGAATTCCATTCCATTACTTGTTTTGATCCTATGTGTTCAGCTTTGGAAGCTTCAGTTTCAGCACCTAATTATATTCCTATACACCTTGGAAGGCTTCCTGTTAATACAGAAAGGAAGTAAATGCTCAGTGCTGCAAATGAGACCAGTTTTATTTAGGTGTCTAAATATGGTCTTAGATCCTCAGGTTAAGTCACCTACATTTGTGAACTGTGGCTTTTCTGTTTAAATAGCCTAATTTATAACCTGAGTACTTGGGAGAGGAAGAAATTGATTAAATCCTGAAAGTATGCAATGATGTGGTTAGAGAAAGCTTTCTGTGCTTTTTTTACAGTACAAGACATGATAATTCATATTAATAAGGCTTCCAATTTTTTAGGAAGTGCTATATTTAGCAGCTAAGCCCCTGAATAGCTATACAATGGAATTACGTTGAAAATGGATGTACTTCATTGAAATGGATGTACTGAAAACATACAGTACCTAAAAATAGCTCCATATAATGCAACATAATAAAGCTTACACAGAATGGCAGCATTTCATTTTTCAGAAGCTCTTTCTCATAAAAAAACTGAAAACTGAATATATCTCTTGCCAATTGTAAACGTTAACACATACAGTAGCATTTCAGGAGAATCAAAACAAATAAGGGAGGACACACAACTCACTTTTTCTGCCATTTCATGGGAGTGATGCAATGAATGTTCCCTTTCGGAGAACATTCGCCTTTGTTCATAGCTGGCTAGCCGACAAGTGAGCCATGAAGAAAGGGTGCAACCACCAATTCCAATGCATGCAAGAGACATGGAGGCAAGGTGTAAAGAATAGAGAGCAGATGACTTCTTTGTCAGAGCACGAAGAAATTGAAAATTTAAGATTCCTCCTATTAGTCCACAGATGCAACAGGCAGAAAAAAGTATCATCTGTCAGGAGAGACAAGAGAGGTTATGTCACAGTAATATTTCAGAGATAGATTAATTCATATAAAATATGAGATAACCATAGTTTAATTCTTTGATAGCATCATTGCCTGCAAAACACTGCACAGCCCCTTGTTTTTAACTCTCTTAACTCCCACATTGCACCAAGGGAATATATTCCCTTCTGGTATACAAGAGTTAAGATTAATGTTGCATGTGAAAAAAAGTTGGGAAAAATGAGTAGGTAAAGTTAAAGCCTATTCAATGGAAGGACTGCTAGGACACAAAACTGATTTCCAGCTGTTCATGCAAAACAGCAACATGACAGAAGGTGTCGTAATTTTCTATTGTGCTGTTTATCACCCTGCCTCAGGAGTGAATGCCTCATGTATTTGTAGTGAAACTCTCGCGCTTTGTGTGCGTTCTGACTGTGCCTCCTGCTCATTTAGAATTTATTCAGTCAGATAGCAGATTGTAGGCTTTCTGCAGCTTTTGTGGAGTCTTTGAAAGTGTTCAAGGTGAATGTGCCGGTCAAAGAACCAAAAGAAACAATAAAGAAATCTGTGATGCTTCTTTACACAGGGTCAGTTTGGTGACTATATGGTTGGTTGGTTGGTTTGGTTGATTTTAACTTGACCAAAGTATTCCTGGGAATTTTAGAAATCAAATTTAGAATTTAGAATTTGCAAATTTAGAATTTGCAGAAACAGGCTGCAATCAACAAGACATTTTTAAAGACCTCCTATTGCTTTTAGTCACAAAGATGTTACCCTGGTTCAGGATGTGTGTTGACCTCAAATGATTCAGGAGCAAAAGACCTTATGAAGACAGTGTTAAATGATTGTCTTACTCACTTCCCTTGATACTGCTGACCTGTCAGATGATGATCTAGATGGGCATGTAACGTTTCTCGATATGGCTTTGTATATGTACTTATCTACTGGGGCAGCAGAAATTTGTGGAGCCTTACAAACTAGTTCTGTACACAACTAAGATGAGAATTTCCTCAGGAATGTGGCATTGAAGATGTATTTTGCAGTCTACTGGCAAGTGACTATTCCACGAGACCTCCGGAACAGATGGCTTTTAGAAACTGGTTATGGTACACATGTTTTAAGAAGTGGGACTGTCATTTTAACAGTTTAAGATAACTCATTGATATTAAAAAATAATTGGAAAGAACTTTAATTCCCATCACACTTATGCTTGTTTTATGTGACTTCCATCTGTATGCGGCAGAATAATCAAGCTGACAGAAAATTAGGACTGGCATTATCACTTAAAATAAGATCATGTCTTTAACATAGAGTTCTGCTGTGACTTGTTGAGTAAAACACCATTTTGCTGCAGTCAGAAAATGACTGTACTTGAAGAGACATGTTCCATCACTTTTAAACTTAAATACACATGTTTCACACTGCTAAACAAACTTGCTAAACACTTAACAGCTATGATATCTAGAAACAAACTGAGATGGCAACCCAGTGTTTGAAGGAGAGAATGTACAGTCCAGTGACATTACTGAGATGCATTTATTGATTTGACATAAATTTATGTCAAGTGATTTCCGATCAAAGTTTATCCAGATATGGATAAATAGGGATGTATAGCTTAAATAGCATGACCTATGTGGGCCATTTCAGAATTGCCTTGTTTTTTATGACTATTTCAAAGTGCTGATTGCTTTTTTTAGATTGCCAGCTTGTAATTTTTCTAATTGTTTATCAAAAACCCTTGCATGCAGAAAGCCCCCAGTAAAGAGTTCAAATTAGATAAGTAAGCCTGTCAAATATTTATGTGTTATGGATGCAGTGGAAAAACTTACAACAAGTCCAGACTTTTTTTTGGCGCACAATATTCCACATACGCCGCAAAGCAGGAACTGCAAAAAACAAGAAACCAAACAATTATTTCAACATTTAAGGTAGTTCAAATCCTTCAAATGTGTTGCTGTGGTGGTGGCCACAGTTCTGGAAATTGTTACAGTTGTCAGCATTTTGTCACAAACCTTATGTTTCAGGAGGTTGTAACTCAACCATAAACATTCTTATTGGATTGAAAGCTGGAATGAGTAATCATAGTGACCATGATAACTCACGAGAAAATAAAGAAAATATGGATTTTTAAGCTGCTTAGGTAAACAAGTTGGGGAAAACATCCCCAGTGTTGCAAGCATAAAAATGCCTTTTTACTGTTTTATTTTTCTCTCACAAGTGTTTAGCAAGGTACTGGTCAGTGATCCAGATCATCTACTTCTAAGCATAGCACAGGGACTTAATGCCCTGATCCTACCATCTGAACCCCTGAAGGATCACATATGGATCGTTGTCTTCAAGACAGTGGAGTTCTGGGCAATAATATAATTCGGTCATGTCTGCGGGTACAGGTGTAAATAACAGTAAGTCTGTTGGTGGACTACTCTGGGCATGCAGAAAGATCTGTTTCAGACTCTTGATGGCCCAATTTGCAAGAGAGCATGAACGCATCTGTACTTTTTTTTAACGTCATTCCCTCACACAAACTGATTTGCTAATTTTAGCACCAAGCATTAGGCAAAAGTTAATTACCAAAACCAGAAAAATGCCTACCAACTGATAAAAATAGATGATAATGCTTAATAGTGACTCTGTCAAAGACCACTGATGTCCTCTGATGTCTTTTTTCTTCCTACAGAAAAGTTTAATGAGGAAAACAATGAGTAGTCTCCAGGGAGCAGTCAGGGTAGGAACCACAGTAGTTGTATGAAAGCAATAAGGCCTTCTCCAGGTGTAATACGGTCAAAAGATTTCCTTGATATCTCATGAAGTCCTTTATTAAGAAATCTATGCTACTTATTTTCAATAAAGCCAACCATACTTCCCCACTGGGAAGTAATTTTATAGGTTTAAAACTGTATTTTTCTACACTATTTTTGCAATGAGATGGCATTTCTAGCAAAAAGCTCTGCTTGACCCCGATTTAGAATTAAATCACAGAAAAGACCTGGCTGTTACATAAGAAATTAAAAAAAAACAAAACCAAAAACAAAACACACCAAAACCAAACCTACCAAAACCAAACCCAAAAAATGAAACCTCTAAGAGGTTCTATTAAGCATTCAGGGTCTGTGCAATATATTGCAGGTACTTCTTATTTGCACTCTAAAATTTTGCAACTCCACTATTTCAGTTGGGCAGTTGCTTTAACTCATAGTTTATCTCCCTCTAACTAAAGTAGTTCATGTGTATAGCTAAGTATAGGCCTTGAGGTATCTTTTTACTTTGAATTAAACCCATGAAAACAGTTCCCCATAATGAATGTGGATAAATTGTGTATATTATTTACTTTTATACTAAGCATGGGATGTGAATTTAATACCAATCAGATTATAGAGAGGGCTGGGTCACGTGGACCATGGTGCTGAATGGCACAGGACATACCAGAAGGCCCAACGGGTAATTGCTGCTAGAACCCACTGACTGGAATAACAATAAAACAAAGCAAATCACCAGGGGCAATGCTCCTTCTGCACTTTCCCACAGGCAAAGATTTCAGCTCATCATATCTGCTTTGTAAGTGTTCACTCAGGCTTTCTGTGAAGATTTGGGGTTTTACTCCCAGTCCTGCCATTGCAGATTGCCTTCAACTGAAGGCACGCTTCAGATTTCCACACATCGTGTTTTGTATTTCTCAAAATGCAGAAACCTTAAATGAAATTTGTTGAAGACGTCTTTGTAATTAAGTTCTATTCAGTCAGATTTGATAAAGTGGATTAATAATACATTTTCTCTCTGTAGTGATTGAATAGGATTGAAAGGAAAATGAAGAAAAATTAATTAGTGTTGGAAGATATCATCACAGATAGTTTTAACTTGTTAACTAGTTTGAAAAACTGTGTGTTTGAAAATTTACCTTCAAAGCTGAAAGAGTGTAAAAGAGAAGGTCACCCATTTCTTCAGGAATGCTTTAATTCTGCTCCAGTTTGAGTCAATGAAGCTAATCTACAAGCACTAAGGTACCAGCTTCTCAAAACAAGGGGTGACTATTCCATTTAAAGCATCTGACTACTTGGAGTAAAGATCTGGATGCAGTTAGATGTACCTTAAGTTTGCTAATGATACTAGACTAGGAGATACCATGGACTGTTAAGTGTAGAGAAGCCTTATAGAGAGATGTGAATAGACCTGAAGCTGGGTAATTACCAACCATGTGAAATTTAACAAGAGCCAAGTGCCAGATTCTGCACCTAGGACAGTGTATTCCTGGTTATGCATAAATACTGAGGGTCAAGACATTGGAAAGCAGCCACAGGGAAAGAGATCTGGGTGTCTGGCTTGATGACAAATTGAATGTGAGTCAGCAGTGCGCTGGCAGCAAAAAAGGCCAACCACGCCCTGGGGTACATCAAGAACAGCATCACCAGGTGGTGGAGGGAAGTGATTGTCCTGCTCTATTCTGCTCTGCTGCAGCTGGTGCAGAAATGGATGATGCCTCAGTATCAGAAAAGCATCAAATTGTTAGAATGTGTCCAGAGGAGGGTGACCAAGATGGTGAAAGGCCTCAAGGGCAAGACTTATGAGGAGCAGCTGAGGTCACTTGGTTTGATCAGATTTAAGAAGTGAAGGCTGAGATGTGACCTCTAAACAGTCTATACCTTTCTCAAGGCTGGCAGCAGAGGAAGAGGCGCTGATCTCTCTTTGATGATCAGTGATAGGGCACAAAGAGTGGAATTTCATCAAAGGAAGGTTCTTCACTGCAAGGGGGGTCAGTCACTGGAACAGGCTCCCCAGAAAAGGGATCATGGCACCAAGTCTGTCAGAGGTCATGGAGCACTCTGAATGCTGCTATTAGTCATATGATTTAGTGTTAGGTAGTCCTGCAAGGAGCATGGAGTTTGACTTGGTGATCCTTATGGGTCCCTTACAAGTTGAGAAATTCTACGATTTTATGATAATATTGTATTGTGTCATGTACACTCTGCATGTATTTTCTCTCTCTACATCTACAGTTGTTTGTACATATAGACAAGGAATAACATGTTCCATAGTTAAAGAGCTAAAAGAGTTCTTTGTATTCTAACTCAGAGGAATTGGATATTCATGCTTCCTCCACATTCTTCTGTTTAATCTTGAGGTCTTGCTGAAGTTTTATAATCTGTATGGCTATGAGATAAACAAGTTGTGAAACTGAATGCACTCAAGTGCCTGAATATGTTAAAAAACCTTGGAAGAGAAGCATTCAGGCAGTAGCAAAGGATTAATGTTATTTAGGTTGGGGCTTTTTTTAAGTGTATTACATTCATGGAGAAAAGGACTGCCCAAAACCTAGTATGGATATTTATTTATGTCAGCATGCATTTTGCAATTAAAACCGATGGATGACTTTGTGCCACAGGGTCAGGCAATTATACCTCATGCAAAGCTTTGAAACTTCTGAGCTAAGTTCACAACTCTTCTAAGGCTGATTCACTGGAAACAGTGGAAACCTGCTCTGTGGAGAGTATTAGTAATACCCTTGGCTCAGGAACTCTGCTCATGTGGAATTTCTTTAGCCAAGCTTTCCAATGTGGAGACACCTAGAACAGTTAGGATTTCAGTGAGATATTATGTGATTGACTCTATTCTCTGCTTTTTGATAACATATTTTTTTTTTTTTTTTTTTGGTGGTCTTATAGGAATTTCCTATAAAAATTTTTATGTCTCAGTGTTGTGATCAGCAGTAGTGAAAAGTGGATGGGAGAAACTACACTAGCTCTTCATACCAGAAAAAGAATGAAGTAAAAATCAGATTGAAAGTGTCTTTTACTTAGAATCTTCTATTTTATAATGCTGCCAACTGGAATTCAGTCATCAGGGGCTCTGTTGTCTTGACACTCTCTCTATCTGTTCTTGGCTATCTTGAAAGACTTCATGTCAATGCGTTATAACAGTAAAACTTGGTTAGTAAGTGTTAAGCTACTCTGGATTACAGTTTACCATTGAGTAACTAATACTGTCATGGTGAGGACTTGCCCCTTTCTACCTGATCATTGATTATCCTTAATATATTTTTACCAGCCAATCTCATGGACTTTTAAAAGGTAATTATATTTTCTAACTATGTAACCTAACTTACCTGAGGTAAGTTAGGCAGACTTATACTGAAAGTACAGTAAATCAGGAGCGGAAAAAGAATATATCACTGAAGATAGACTTCTTGTAAATAATGCTCAGTTGTTGAAGTGTTCACACTTCAGCTTATTCAGAGAATAAGGCTAAAACATTTCATTAAGGATAAACTAAGCTAATAAGCCCTACAAAATGCCCTGGAAGCCAGAAAAGGAACCTCAGCTGGAACTTTTTTAAACAGATGTCTCCTTGTTGGACTTCCATTTTAATTATTTTTCATAATTTAAAAAAATCATAAAATGCTAAAGGACTGGAAGGCTCACTTAAAAACCTACACAGATCACAAATTACACCAGACCCTATTGATTATAGGGTTACTTTTGGTTGCAGACTTATTCATACCTCCTACACATACATGATGTTTTGCATCAAGACTAGCAGAGAAGCCTTGTATTGAAACTATTGGAACAAGTCCAGAGAAGGCACAGGAAGCTGGTAAGATGGCAGAAGCATCTCTCCTAAGAAGTCAGGTGGAGAAAGTTTGGGCTGTTCAACCTGGAAGAAGAGAAGGTTCAGAGATTCACAGATTGACAGAATATTCTGAGTTGGAAGGGACCCACAAGTATCACTGGGTTTGCGTAGAGACCTCATAGCAATCTTCCAATATCTGGGAAGCTGGAGAGGGACTCTCCATCAGGAACTATAGTTACAGGACAAGGAGTAAAGAGGTAACTGGAAGAGGGGAAATTTAGGCTAGATATTAGGAAGAGATTCATTACTGTGAGGGTGATGAGGC